TACTTTCCTTGATGACACTATGGGACTATGAGACTGATCAAAACATTAATTTCTAAAGATTTCTTACAAATCTATTTCTGTTACTGCTACTATTACTACTTCATCTTCCATCAAATTAAGCCATGAGTTTTTATTATGTCTCACTACTGTTAACAGTTATAACCTTCTGAAGTTTCATGAACCATTTAATATTTTCATAGTACACAAACTGATCCTTGCTAATCAGGAGTCCTGCAGAGAACATAACAATAATATGATACTAGAATAATGAGGACAAGGCAAGAACAGTCAATGCAATAATCTTTAAACAGGCACTGGAATACTCTGTTATCATACTTTCTAAGCTACGCTAATTTATTTGCTCTGGCTGATATGAGCTTTGTTTTGTCTCCACCTAGAGTGAGGACAATTTTATAGTCACAGAACTCTATCTGACTTGTTACATAATGCTAAACAAAGTGATGATGCTATAATCCTTTTTCTTCAAATAGAAATTTTCTGATCCCAAGTGGTGCAACTAATTATATAAACCACATTAGAGAAATTCACAATTGTGGCAGTGACAATTCTTGCATCCACACTGGAGATGTTCAGGGAAAGGGTGGGCTTTGCACTGAATATCACTACCAATCCTCACCATCCTCTATTTCCATATTGAGGGGTTAAAGATAAGGAGGAGCTCTAGAGATATGCAGCCTCTTGGAAAAGTCCCAAGAGAAATATCTGCAACCAATTATTCTTTTTCTTTGAACTTCCGATGAAGTGCACCTTAATGATGTTTTTTGGTAAAGACTTGCTCTTCATTTCATAAACAGTGTTAGTTATTTAGGAAAGGGAAAGACTGCCTTTTGCTGGCTAGAAGATGAAAACATTTTTAACGTAAGTTGTAGCTGAGAGTCTAGGACACCGTGGGCAATTAAAGCAATTTAGGCAGGACCAAGTTCTCCTCTTTTCCCTCAAGTATTTTGTTTCAAGAAGGATTCTTTTGAACATCTTTTCTTTATTTAGTTAGGTTTCTTTGGGACTTAATTTGGGAGTGCTTTCTACTTAAGAATAGCAGGAAGCCAAGCCACCAAATTTCACCCGTTGTCCTTGGAGTGGAGATTACAGTTGTAAGAATACAAAGCTTAGTCCCACATGTTAAATCTCAAAGAACTCACTCCTCTGTTAGAACTTGATAGTCTGGAAGAGAAAAGGGTAACTTAACACATGACTATCAATATTTCTTGCATGTTTTTCAAAGAAAATGTGATTGCAATTTATTATATACAACCATTTGTGGGAGGAAAATATATTGCCTCAACCTAACAGTAAGTGAATCCTCTTCTTCTGATTACATGAAGTTGCACTCTAAAGCGAACACAATTAATTTACTGGGAAGGCAAAAGCACAGACTAATAAATGATTATGTTCAACTCTACTGATCAATGAATCTGGAAGTGTGTCTGTATTTTCCTTTTAAAGAGTGCAGCACTCAAGACAAATGACAGCAGTCATCGACCTCAGCCTAAATATATTTGGCGAGACTCTCACCAACACAAGGATTAAACATTCTTGCTGTTCCAAAATACTTCAGAGTAATTCTTGCCTGTTCTTAGAAAAAGTATTTGCAATAGGGAAGACTGGGTTCCAATTTTATTTCCTCACTCTTCTGAAGAAAATAGGAAGGAATAAAAAAAAAGATGTATTAAATATTGGAAAGCTTTAACATACCTACCTTTCTTACTCTTTGTAAAAAAAACAAGAAGAAGAATCAGCTGGACATTGTGCTACTGAATTCTCTCAAAAGAATTTTACAGTACTTGAAAATTAAATGAAAACAAAGATTGGGAACATATGTACTGTACCTCATAAACCTGGGTTACCCATTATTAATTTAGAACAATTCACTCAAGACATAAATGACCATGTTCAAATTGTTATCCTACTCAGGAGAAGACCTAGGTCTCTGGAGAACAGCCTAATGTTGGGAAGGGTAGAAAGACAGAGAATAAAAGGACAACTAACTCAACGTGGATAGGCTCAGTTTCAATGAAGTTGGGTAACCCACAGGAAGACCTGGAACACTAAGCTAGGAAAATACTATCATGGAGAAAATCTATTTATGTGGTTGCTAAGACTTGATAGTGCATAATCCATCAGTTCAGAACAGGGATTGGATGTAGATTTTTTGTAAAAAAAATCCTTGATTAGTCTTTTTTTTTAATCAAAGAATTACTGACTTGTATGAGATAGGCTGAGGGACAAACTATTTATTAAATGAAATGTATGCCTCCATTCAACATTTATGAATTTTGTTGTTACTGTTTTTAAGTAAAAGCTGTGTAATATAAGGTTTAAGCACACACAAGGATTTTATTTTTCAAGCAGTTTTGAAAAAGTCCTGTCATCTCCAAGTAGTTGCTACTTGATATGGGAGAGAAACTGATATTGTTGTCACTTTTCTTCCATACCAAAAAGCAATGGGATAATGAGGAGAAGATTCTTCTTGCTAACATTCTTAAGAAAACAGCAGGAAAATACTCAGTCTGTTCTTGTTTCTGGCTTTGCATCCATTCGACTGTACAGATACTTAACAACTAACTAAACAAGATTTCTTTTTTAAAAAAAGGTATATAGTTCATACCGCACGTAATATGTTATTGAAAAATATATACAAAACATTTTTTAAAAAATAAGTGACTAATGACATACAGACCAGATTCTGCTAAGCTTTTAATTGTACACTTAATTTATACACAATGGTTTGTAATTCACTTAGTACAGCAGGCTATCATATTTTTGGATTTTGGTTCTCATAAAATTTACAGATTTGAATTAAGTATGTAACTACATAATATTTTAAGAAATGTAATAGCTCTTATCTCACAGTAGAATGTGATTCTGTTAATTGATTAAACAGTTTTTACTTTGTTTGTTTTTGTGCCTTCAAGTCATTGTTGTCTTGTGGCAAATGCCTGGACTCATTCCTGCAGTTTTCTTGGCAATATTTCAGAAGTGGCTTGCCACTGTAAAGCATAAGGCTGTAAAGCACTATGAAACAGCATATAAGTCTGCTAAGAATTACTGGCCAAAGATCACCCAGCTGGCTTTGTGCCTAAGATGGGACTAAGATTCACAGGCTAGTTGGTTCCAAGCCTGATGCCTTAACTACTACACTTAACTGGCTCTCCATGTTAATCAGTTACAAAACAGTAATAGATAAACTGGGAGCTTTGCCTATTTAATTACATCAAGTATACTAATCAATAGTCCTTTCCACCATTCTGATATAGCAGTCAAAAATTATGAACGACAGCACACACACAAAGAACATTCATTTTCCAATTCTCCTATCAATTAACTGAAAATAATTCATGCAAAGTCTCCCACCATAAACATGTGTAAGATGTACAAAATAGGAGATATATTCATATCTTAGTCAAAATGAGAACGATATCAATTTAAAGGCTTCTAAATGCACTGTGCCTTAAGCTTTTGAACATTTAACCCCTACATCAGCAGATGCTTGAAATGATTACTTTGAGTTGTTGGAGAAGGGTGCACATGTCAACAATGAAACTAGAGGAAAGTAAAGAACTGTGTACAAAACACAGACAGCAAATAGCTGTCCTATGGTAGTGGCCAAAATTATGGAAACCTTCTGGGAAAAGTGTATTTTTGAGGTTTGATGGCTAATAACACCACTTTTTTGGAGTAGTACAATAAATTTATATATCAAAAGAAAGATAATTTAATCAAGAATGTAATGCAACAAAGTTTGTTCAATTATCCCGTATTCTATGAAAAGTTATAGCCAAATATCCAGAAAAAGGAAGCACAACTTGCTTAGGTTGATATCAGGTAGTTTTCCTTCATCTGATTGTAACCAATGAGCATGAGTGTTTAGAGAGCCAATCAGGTGTCATCTTGTTTTGGCAATGAGCCAGTCAGATCACAGTAGGATTCAGTTATTGATGTCATATATTGAAGCTGAGAGGAGGACATTTGTCAATGTGTTATGTGATCGCTATCAAGTTGGTTGGGGTTTTTTGTGTTCTTTCATTTAGTGAGCTTGTAAAACGCAATAAAATTAAAGTAATGATGCAAAGAGTTGACTGGTTGCCCAGAAAGCGATGTAAAATAGTATTATTAAGTGAACAAGGCTAAAATTATAAAGAAATTAGAAGAAAAATTGGTGGAAACTTAACCAAAGGTGGCATTTCTACTGTACACTTTTCCCAAAAGGTTTCCACAATTTTGGCCACTACTGTATTTATGAAACAATGATTTGAATAATACCACTGATAGTGTTACACTGGGAAGCTAAATCAACAAGCATGACTTTACAATACTTTTTCTGTTCTTCAGAGAATTTTATGGCTCAGGTATTTCATAGGGTATTTTTTAAGGGCAACAATTATATTGAAATATTTCTCCACTAAGATTTTAGTATTATAATTTCTGATATTAGACTTATGTTGTTTTAGACCTTGTACAATTTGCTGATGCTGGAAATATAAGCCAATAGCACCTTGGTTTAAAAAACATCAGTCTCAGTTAATGACACTTATATGTCCACTAAAGTGAAAAGATTAAAAAGACTCAAGATAGCTTATATTGAAAACTCAATAAAAATGAGCCATCAAAAAGCAAAAAATAAGATAAGATATAGGTCCTTCTTATAGGAGAATACTATAAAACAGTTTCATTTACACCTCATCAAGCAACACGATTCGCAAAATGTATATTCCAAAATCTGGGTTTATAGTGCCATTCTAAAATAGAACAGGAATAAAATGGAGCTGGAATTTCAAGCGTTTTTGCTAGATAACGCAATCTCTAAAAACACAGAGATAAAATGATGAGGATTTTTTGTCAAAGAAGAGTGGGTATTCTTGACTCCTAATTTCTACAGTTTCTTAAAATGACTCAAAAGAATATAAAATATGAGCAACATAGTGGTTCAAATATCCATTGTAAGGCTTTCTTCCAATTGTAGTTTATAGCTGGTTACTTACCATCAGTTTGAGATTTGCTAAGGAATATTGTGCTGGCTCGTGGATGGTCTGAGGGGTTGAATTCCATGTTTAGATCTTGAAAAAAATGTGAGAAAAAGGGAATATTAGGAATGACTTGGCAGGAGTAAATTTTGTGTTTCATTGTACAACTAATGCTAATCCATTGTAAAGAGACAAATTCATACATCCTACATCCCAAATTATAACTTTGCAGCTTCAGTTCTCCAATGTATACTCTTTAAAGCAGAGATAGTTAACCAATTGTTTCCATGGAACCCTTTCAGAGAGTGTTTAAAAAGTACAGACCCCTTCATGGAAAAAACGCGTCTAGCTGCATAAAATAAAATACGAAGGTATAGACCAGTGGTTCTCAACCTATGGGTCGGGACCCCATTTGGGGTCGAACGACCATTTCACGGGGGTCGCCAAACAAGGCTGTACGCCATTTTCCCCCCTTTTCTTTGGCCACGCCCCTGGCACCCGGTGATGTATAAGTGGTTGGGGGTCACCACAACATGGGGAACTGTATTATGGGATCGCGGCATTAGAAAGGTTGAGAACCACTGGTATAGACTGTGTTACAAAAGAAATGCTTAAACATAATTATCAAAATATTAAAGAATACAGCTATGGAATGTTCCAACTTATTTTCCCCGAAAATAAGACCCAACCAGAAAATAATCTCTAGCATGATTTTTCAGGATGCTCGTAATATAAAACCCACCCCCAAAATAAGATGGACACATTTACTACCATATTTTTCCAAAAATAAGACCTAACTGGAAAATAAGTCCTAATGCATCTTTTGTAGCAAAAAATAATATAAGATCCAGTCTTATTTTCAGGGAAACGTGATAGTATGTGTGGTTCTTTATTAATCCCTTACATCAATAACAAAAAATTTAAATTAAATTCTAAATTTCAATTGGAGAGTAGGAAAAATAAATGGTATTTTTCCCAAGTTCCTAGACTTCCTGAAGTCTATCCCTGGACACCCCCCCCATGGACCCCTATCTAAGAGCCCCTGATTTACAGCACGACTCTATTTTAGATATAATTGTTCACTGTAATAATAATTACTGTGCCTCTGCTTACACAGATTTAGCTTAATGTGGAAACTATTTATATAAGGATATCACCCTCTGCCAGCTTATACAGATTAAATTTTAGGAGATAGAATTCAAGTCAAGTCAAGTAAGTTTATTACAGTCAAAGACCAGAAACCAGAACAATTTAAAAACACTCAAGGAATATCCAGTTAAAAATTCTAGAATAAAATAATAAATAACAGAAACAATTTATATTAAAATCACAATTTGGCATCCAATTTGTCAGTTGCACATGAGCAAAACACAGCATGTGTTTAACTATACTATAATATCAATCCTTAAACTGTGAGGCCCCATAGTCATTAAATACTAAAATGCAAAATAGTAGTAATGCAAAAGGGCTTGTGTATTAGTTGTCTAAAATAGCTATGTTGGATTAATCACGTATTTCTGATAAATCCCCAGAGCCAACATAACACAATTAAGAATGGTGGTTAAGGGAGCCCTGAATTCAGACACAAATGAATTACATAGCCAGTTAGATCACCTTAATGCTTCTTAAAAAAGGGGAGAATGGGAATAAGGGATATCCTTTACACAAAACGTATTGGAAAAAAGTCAAACATACTAGAATAAACTTGCAAAAGGGTCTTTCCTTATTTGCCTGTAGTGTGTAAAAATTGCCTCGAGCAAACTTTCTAGAAATGCCTCTTCAAGTCATATAAGACTAGCTTTAAAAACTCAAATAAATGGGTCCTCAAGTTAGGAATCTGTGGACTTTATGCAAGACAGTTCTATTGCTGCTACTAACAGAAGAAAGAAGGTCAGGACAAAAACTGATTATCCCTAATTTTCTCTCATTTTCCACCCTTCATATTCCTTATTCCTGTCCCTTCCAAAATTCTAGAAAGTCTTTGGTTTGAGTTAGGAAGCAACATATGCAAGGAGAAGATCTGCCACAAGAGGGCTGATTATTTCAGTGAAATTTGAAAGCAAAAGGCTGTGAATATCTTTCTGCTTAAGCGTCCCGTTACGACAGAATGAAGCCAACAGGATGTGATAGTCATCCTTAGAGCTGGCCCATCCTATGGTTGGATGTGAACAGCAGACAGAAAATAAAAAGGGGAAACAAAATAGAGAAATAAAATCCTCTAGTCTACACATCTCATTTTCATTTCAAGTTGAAAAGGTTTCTCGAGAAACTGAATTTTGACTCTCTCCAATTTAAGTTTTGCTGCCAACTGGCAGAAAGCACATGATGGCACTGCTTATCCCTCTTAATCTTAGCTTTGCCTTCCTTAGAAAATGCCATTGATAACACTGTTTGCTGCCAAGTGTCAAGAAACATCCACAGCTTTTAGTCCCCTTATTTGGGTATGAGGCAGAAATCTGCCCATTAGCACACACAATTTCCCTAAATGCTATAGGCCAGTGCTTCTCAACCTTAGCAAATTTATCATTAAGATGTGTGGACTTCAGTTCCCAGAATTCTGCAGAGTATTGGGAGTTGAAGTCCATATATCTTAATGTTGCCAACTTTGAGGAATACTTTTGTAGACATCCATCCATCCATAATCTTACTCTCATAGGCAGCTACACAAACACAATCTGACACAGTCATAAAGCATAAGAGAAGAGAGGAAAATTATTAAGATCTGTTGCATGGTCAGCCAGATGTTTAGACTGGATTAGGCATTTTTATCTACTATCTTATTATTATAAAAGCTAAACATGGCATAAGAACCATGGAAAGATACATGCTCTGCATTACAACACAAGATAGAAAGAACAGATGGAAATTTTGTCAATGCACAGATTGCCTTGACTGCAAACAGGTTCACAGGAGCAATTAAAGTGATGGTTTTATCCTAAGGCTGCCTTCTCCAATCAGAATCAATCTATCTGAGATGCTCCTCCTAGGAGAAACTATGATGTCCAATTTTCATGAGATTACAATGTACAGGAATCATTTGGGGAAGGAATAGTATGCCTCCTGAAAGCAATGTTTGTTAATGCCTTCTAGACATTTAATGGAAAACTGTTTCCAAGAACATTTGAGGGCCCTTCAGCCATACGAGTCAGGAGGCTGGTTGAACCTTTGATATATTGTTAATGCATTGTTGATGGACCTATCCTCAGTTGCCCTCCTCTGTCTTTTTGTCCTTGCTATGTATGAATATCTCTTTTTTTATTTATTGTTATATTACTTTAACAGTGTTTGCCATCCAGAATCGGCTTGACAAGATGGATGGCAATATAAATAGATAAATAAACCAAATAGAATCAACCCACCAAGTGACTTATGTCGTGTTATGTTGTTTTAATTGTTGTTCTGTGTTTCATCTTTCTACTAATAGTGTTTTTTTTATTGAAAAGTTTTTAAAAGTTTTACAAATAAACAACCAACCCTCACCCATCCCTCCCAAACCCCCCTCCCCCCTCCCCGAGCTTCCCAGAACTGAATACAGGCTTATCTATAATTTTAAAAAACCTAAACAAATTTTTACAACTTATAAAATAATTAATATTAAAATATATATGACATAAACATTAAAAAGAAAAATACTTAAAAAAAGAAAGAAAAAGAGAGGAAAGCGAGTGAGAAAGAAAAAGAAAAAGGAATAAAAAAGATAAAAAAAAAGAAGGAAGAAAGATAAGGACGGAAAAAGAAAAGAAAAAAACAATCTATAAAATATCCAAAATAATTTTTTATACAATTTATAAAAAAGCTAAATGATATTTTTCCATATCCAAATTATATTGTATAAAATTTATCCATTTTTCCCATACAACAAAAAATTTCTCTTGAGATTGCTCCTTTAAGAAAGCCGAAATCTTTGCCATTTCCGCCAAATAAGAAACTTTATAAAACCACTCTTGTAAGGTAGGCAAAGATTCCTTCTTACTAATAGTGTTTTAATGTTTGTGTTATATGGTTTTATTGCTGCAAATCTTAGAGTCTTGGAATATTGGCAAAATACAAATGGAACTAATAAATAAAAAACTAACTAAATAAGAAATTCCTTTAGCTCATTAATACATAGGGAAACTCCCAAAAACAATGAAGGCCAGGTACCTAGCAACTAGCTGCTTCTGAGGAATTCTCTAGGCCAGCGGTTCTCAACCTATGGGTCGCGACCCCATTTGGGGTCGATCGCCCATTTTTGGGGGGTCGCCAAAGGCGGCGATCCGCCATTTTTCGTGGTGCCGTGCACGCGCGCCACACATGGGGGCGGCGCCGTGCACGTGCGCCGCGCATGGGGGTGGCACCGCGCACGCGCACCGCACATGGGGGGTGTCGCACATGCGCGCCACGCATGGGGGCGGTGCCCCACCCCCATGCGCGCGGCCCGGCGCATGCGCAGAATGTTTGTGTGACGGGGGTCGCTGTCACACAAACGTTGAGAAGCACTGCTCTAGGCTTTCCTAGCTATGCAATAAGAAACTTAATATTAGTTTCATTAAAAAAAGAAGAAACTATCTATCCGTCTATCTATCTGTTTCACAAAATATATGAAAAGAACTTTGAAAAATGACAAAAATACATATACTTATTTTTTGGAGAAACTTGCATTCAACTCCTGTAACAAATGCAGGATAAGTGTTTGGTAGCAGGGAAGTTCTTAAGTTTTCAAGTATAGATAAAAAACAGTTATGCAAACATTTTAAGTTTATGTACATAAACTAAAATAAATATTTAATTTATAATTTTTGAAATGCGGTGTAATTTTCTTATGTCTGAACTGAGATTATATTCTTGCTACATCTACCATATTCTACACAATCTTGCTATATATCTACCATATTCCATAGCTCTTGTGCCCCAATTCAACTTCTTGTTTTTATAACCTTGGTGTTATCCATCTCAGCAACTTTGGACTGATGTAGTTGCCCTAACTCAGTGGTTCTTAACCTTTTTGAACGAATCGCCCCCTTGAGCCAATGAGGAAGTTGTCATCGCCCCCCTCCCTCAACATAACCTCTCAATCACAACATAGGAAATAATTCTTCAATTTATGCAAACAC